TTACAATTTTTTCATTATTTACCATCTTGTCATGTTCAACTATTTCATCACTCTTTTCACTATTAATACTCTTTCTGTCTTTTTCTTTCTTCTTCATCAAATTCATTTAAATCCTTATAATTTTTTACTTTTTTAAGAATTTAATATTTCTTCTCGCTTATTTTCTTTAATTATTTTTTAAAAGATAAGACATAGGATATCCAGATTTTTTATTATTGTACCAGGAAGTCAAATTTTAGTAAACAGGTTTTGTAACACTACTTCTCACTTGGAAAAAATTGACTAACTTCTTTCCCAGCACAGTTTGGTTATAATGTGCTATTTGTTTATCTTTATTTATACTAATATTATTTTTAGTAAAAACTACTTCTGCTTTTAAATATTTTTCATTGTAATTACTAAGTATGTGCACATTTTATTATTTTTATTTCTTACAGTAACTTTAACTTTACTTAATGATTCTATTTGAGGTCCACTAAATGGTCTAATTACCACTGTACTTTTTTCCCAAATTCTTATTTAATTTATTAAATTGTTTTATAGGTGCCTAATACATTTAGTAGTGCTTCTGTTTCTAATTTTATTACCATTTCTTCATCATCAACTTTTACTATATCTGTCCAATTTTTACATTTTTCTGTTTCAATAGTATTCAATGTAAAAAACGATACCTCTTTTTCCTCATTTATTTGTACCTCATTAACAATACCCATCTTACAATTTATAGTAAAATGATTTTTTTTCCATAAAAGTTACAATTTTGGACATTGATTTATACTGATGATTTCCACATTTAAAACAAATAAACATTTATTTATTTACATTTTGGTCTACATACCTATTATTACTTGGATTTTCACTGCCATGACCACCTTGTCTGTATTTTTGAATTGTTTGATTCTGTTTTATATCTTCTCCTATTTGATCAACACTTATCGTTTTCTTTTGTACCAGGCGACAATTCGGTACCTCTTGCTCAATTGTTTGACAATACTTAATTACTGTTGCCAGTGGTAGATCTTCACGCAGTAACCTTGTTTGTAATTTTTTGTCTTTAATTCCAAGAACTACTTGTGTTCACAGAAGTATTTCTTCACATTTACCGAATGAACATGACTTGATGAGTTCACGTAGGTCAGTATAAAATTTGTCAAATGATTCATTGTCATCTTGTTTTCTGGTAAAGTATTTGTAATGCTTCATTAATTCATTCTTTTTAGAAACACAATATTCTTCGAAGAATTTGAAAATTGTTTCAATAGTTAAATCTTCTATATTAAATGTGTTAAACAATTTCAAACCATCTGGTCCTAAAAGGTTGAGTAGACGTGCCACCTGAACTTCAATTGGTTTTTGATATGTTTCAGTAGCCATAAAGTAAATTTCTATTTCTTGTTTAAATTTTTTAAAATTGTAATTTAAATTACCGATCAATTTAAGGTTTTTCGGTTTATTGAATTCATCCATTTTCAATTTTTTTTTTCAATATGAATTCAAGCACTTAGACAAATATCACGTAGGATGTAGGTACTTTTTTAACTTCAAAGACTGCGCCACGTTTTATCTTGTTAATTATTCATTAAACAATATCATTAAGTATTTTAAATATTCTTTATTAAACTTTAATTTACATTATATTATTCAATTATTGCCTTATATTATGACTATAATATGAAAAACATAAACAATTTTAATTTTTAAACAACTTGCACGATGACGATATATTGATATTGGATGCCTATCGCAACAACAACAAATATGATAAAAAACGGTACGGTTTTAAAACAACTACGGTCCTGATTGTAATGCGTTTTTGATATTTTCCACCTGGGGACACTGAACCGGCCAAAAAAGAGACTTATCTAATACGGAAGCAGCTTATAAACAACGTGATAACAATAATAAATATAAAATTATGTAATAAATAATAATATGGATATTAGGAAAAAAAGTCTCTCGTTGCATTTAAATAAAAATATATAAAGTATGAAATTATAATAAATTAATTAAAAATAAAAAAAATAAAAATATCTTATAATAATATTTTTTAAAAATATAAAATGTATTTATTCAGTTATAAAAGATCTCTTTCTTATACTTTGATCTATTTGTTTTAAAAAATTAAGAATAGATATCTGCAGATTTATCTTTATAAAAATGTTGACATAAATCAATGTTCAATGGAACCTTAGTTTTCTTTACTAGCTTTCGTTTTTTTTTCCGATTAATTTCTCTTACTTCAACCAATTTCATTCTTGCTTTGTCCGTTTCAACTTCCTTACATATTTTTGTTAGTAATGTTTAATGCGCCAACGAGAGTGGAAAACCCATTGTTCCATCCTTCACAAGTATTGTTAGTTCTATGCGGATTTGTTGACAGAGTTTATTCGCACTGTCGAGCTCTTTTCTACTTATATATTAAAGTTATTTACTTTAATTCAAATGATGTGTACTTAACTGTAAAAAATGTTCGGGCGCTAAACCAAAGTTCCTATCAATAAACCAAATATCGGCAATTGCTTACTGTTCTAAAGAACTATTTAACACGAAAAATAAATATTATAATGCGTTAATCTGACTTTGGAACATTATCTTTCAACAAAAATTTCTCATTCCCACAACGTATAGAATCATCTAAAGCCATAATAAAAATAATGATGAATTTTAATTTATTTTCCTGTTAGTACCTAATACTCTACATTATATAAATTTATTATAATTCATATCCCATATAGGTTTAAGTATTTTTTTTTAAATTCAATACTCGAATGCCTTAAAAAGCTGAAATGGTAACGCTAATAACATAACACGTTAAAAAAATAGCAACAGAGTTACAGTAACGCGTTAGTTTCATTACGTTAGGTACCTACTATTCATTACCCAACACTGGTAATAGTGTAATATTACCTATATTAAGTTTTTTTGTTTTAATTGTGTGATGTGATAATTATATACCTATTAAATATTATATTAATACAGCGCCGTATAGAGAAGTATTTGATGAAATTAACAACATTTTGATAAAATATATTAGTTAAACTAAACAAAAAATAAAAATATTAAATCAAATAATTTTTAATTTTTATTTGGAGACTGATCATATCACCGCCGTTTGCGACCATCGTTCACTGGCTCTTGAACCTGGAACAGAGACCACATATTACTTAGGCAAGGTGCTCTGACTTGCATATCGAATTAGGACAATAGAACCTACTGAAATCTGAATGCTGATATTTGCTGGTTTTAATTTAAATTTTCTTGTGTTTTAACCAATTATCATAACCTACGATTCAGTTTTAAATCTTTGCCGTGTAATTTTTATTTTTTCTTATTTTATTATGTTCAATTAGATTTATTAAAGGTTTTGGAAAAGGTAAAATATATTTTTATACCTAACAAAATATAATAGATATACATAATAATATAATACCTACTTATATAGGATATAAAAATTGGTTCTTGATTTGATGATTTCATTCTGTTTTATCTAATATATTATATAGTTAAATAAGAGTTTTAGATTTTTCAATAATATTCATAAATAAAGAAAATACCTAGGTATATATAGGTTTGATAACCATATTAAAATATTAAAAAGAATATTACATATAAAAAAAGTATATACATATATATCTGTATATATGAACGAGACTGGACTGATTCGTAGTCAATGCAGAGCTGAACCTATTAGAGTTATCGATTTGAAATTTTGAGGGTAGATTAATATTATAATTTCATTATGTTCTTAGAGAGGATTTTAAAATTTTTTGATTTTAAAGGGTTGAAATTGGAAAAACAAAATTTTACGAGTAAATTGTATACCTATTTATACCGATTAGTAAGCACTTAGAAGCCGTGAGCCTTTAGCTCACATTTTTAGACTCTTTTTCACACGCAGGACAATTTTATGTGGCATGCCCTAGAATCAGTACGCCTACAAGTTTAAAAATGTTGTGCCAAATGACAATACATCAAAATGTAGTTAATAAGGAAGTTTATGATAAAACTGTTGTCATAAATTATTATTTTTTATTATATAAGTACCTACCTATTAAAATTTCGAAAGCAAAGCTGTGACTAGTAATCCGCTAGTACGTATATAATATATATTTATATATGCATACAATTAATTATTAATTATTGTAGGTATAAACTAACGTAATAAATAGAATATAAAGATACCTATGTAATAAACTTTATATACATAATTATTTAAACTATTACATATTATATATGTAGTATTTTAAAAATTAAAGAATAAAAAAATATAGAGTTTATTTAGGTACCTAGGTACTAGGTACAATATAATATTAGGAAAATAGGTGCAATACTCGTAGTTATGCTCTAGGTAAATTATGAATTTTGGTTGATATTATTATATAAATTGAGTTTTTTTTTTAATTATTTTTTTTCTATGCGATCTTTAAGTTGTGCCAAATATAATTTTATTTGGCTTATACTTTTTGTTCAAGTACATTTTAATACATAACATTTTTCCATGAACAATTGAGAGAACGCAGATAACTCTAATGCGTTCGAGGTACGTTTGTGAGTTGTATGTACTTATGTAACATAAATCGATCCGCGACTACTTTCCATTGTTACTTTTGATTATAATTTTGAGAATGAATTTAGACTACGTTGTTTGTGTCTAGGTTTCGGATAAATAACTGATATGTATTGTATAATATTTATATATAATGTAATAGCATAATTGAAATTGAAATTTTATAATTTTTATTACAATTCCGTAATAATATATTATTCTATAATTATAAATTACTATTAATTAATCTTCTATGTTATACAGTATCACATATGTACACTCTTTGCTCGAAAAGCCGCTAATATTTTTATATAAAGTATGTGATAACACTGATAACTTATAATTAAAGATAACATTTTTGGTACCGTAATTGACTGTACTTATAATGACCTCCAGTACAACTTTACTGTTCCAATGATAACCACACTTAATGATAAGTTGATAACGATGAAAACAGAAAAGGGACGACAGCTATATAAGACGTTCAATACGCGATGTCAATACTCGTTCAACTTACTGGCCAGGGTGTTTATAAAGATCCTTATTTACTATAATATATTCAATGATTAATATAGATCTTGATTCTTGTCGACGACGACGGTGTTTAATACTTATCGTTCTATGGGAGGTAGGTATATCGTGACCTTTTCTATTATTGTTAGGTAATTGTACGTTTCATTTCATTGTCAAGTTGTTGATTGAATTGAATATTAATTGTTTAAAATATTCAAATTATCGTAGTTTTAGCAGTTGTCAATTATTGTTTCATTAATTTAAATGCAGTTCTATTTTATCAAGATCTGTCACGCTGATATACATTTGCGATCGCCAGTGAAGAATACAACTAGAATTGAATAATGATTTATTAAGAAATAGTATCATGGACTGTGGAGTCTTTGACCTGGAGAGTGCAGATGCTACAGACTACAGCATGATAATAGTATTTGTTGCTGAAATCAAATTACAAAGTTTGTGATAATTACTATTTATTGTACATTGTATCACATCACTATATTCCTGTATTATTTGCATAGATTTGTTGTTCGTTGGTTGTATATCAGATCATATCATTGAAGTTGAATGACAATTCTATTCATCAATGAAAGCATCAAAGTAAAATCTGTCTCATGACTTTTTTCATCATGATACTAATTCGAGTTAAATTGTTTTTCAGAGCCAGAAAATTGTTTGGTTGAAATAAAATTTGAATTAAGAAAAAGGAAAAGGAAAAAAAAAACACTTACTTACTTAGTGGCGTTGTAAACAAACCTGCCAATTGTCAAATACAAAAATTATTGGGTAGTTGAATAGTTTCAATACTAGAACAATGTTTATGCTATTAGATAAGTATACCTATTAATATTCAAATCCAATCACTTTTTATGGATAGTTGCTGTAGTAAATAGGATATATTGTGTAAAGTTATAACATAAATAATTTAAATAATGATAAATATAATATTTATATTTAATTATTGAGAAGATAAAAAACCACATTAAACATGTTGTGAGCTACAAAACTTAAGTATATATAAATATATAATAACACATTGTGATAATACATAGCGTATGTTGAGATCGATCGAAATATGTTATTAAGTTCACTATTTTGGACAATATACTTCATGTTGTACAATGCACACGTGTTGTTGATTAAGAATCAAAATGCATTATCAAAGTTACTATTTACAATCACAATTTCCACATACTCTAAGGATACCTGCAGAGTGCAAGGCAACTGATTCCTTGTATACAAAAGCTCAGAGAGCAGCAGTGGAAATGTATTAAAATAATGAAATAAAATACAATTAAATTTGTTGTTCTATAAAATTCTTAAAATAATTTTATATATATTAAACTATGCTTTTAAAACTGTTTTTGTTCAAATATGTAAATTATACATTCTTGGTCATTAGTTATTATTTATTAATAACATAAAAATATATTTTATTTACTAATATTAGATCTGAATTTGAACTATTAATTGTAATTATATACTTATTATTATTATTATTTTTTATTCATAATTTATTTTTTTAATTACAGTGAAACCTGACTTAATAGATATCTCTCTTAACGGATTAAACGATCAGATCATGGCAATAAGATATGTATCTCAATGTATTTCGACCTGTTTATAATAGACACTAGTATTACGGACACGGACACTAATATTTATTTTGGTGATTTCAAAACGAACAAAAATCCTAGTTCAAATCCAAATGTTCATGTCATATATATGTACTAACTACAAAACATCGTCAATACGGAATGCAATTAAGTACAGGTGAAAACACAGATTACGACCGATTACATTATCGTTGATTGCAATAATATTAATTGCAAGCACCTATTAAATTTATGAAGTTGAAATACATACATACAATTTAACAGAAATAAATCCATGTATAAATTGCAAATATGTATAAATGATAATCATAAGTAAATCTAATGATTTTATTCAGTTTCTATCGGTTTGCAGTTGGAGTTGTACATATTTTTTTTAGCAATGCCACCTCCCGCACCGCATAAAGCTTTTAATTTAAAACAAAATGTAGACATTATTTGTTGTAAAGACTTAACTTTAGTATTTTGTACTTATTATTTACAATATTAATAAAATGTAGGTTCAAAATTTTCATTTTTCATTAAATATTTAATGTTTGTAGATTAATTTTATTTTTAAAACATTGAAACCTGTTTATAATAATTATTTTGGTCCCATAACTGTCTGTTATATACAGGTTTCACTGTACTAAAAAAGCTTTTAACATTATAATCATTATTAACTATCAACATGTTGACTGCCATGTGATAATCAAGGGTCACACCAATATATATTATCGACACGTAAAATATATTTTTTCTTCATGTCATTCCTAATTTGTGTATACTATTTTATTTTAAATGAAAAAGCATTAAAAATTTGTTTATTGTATCGAAAAAATTGTAATTATTTCTGTTATTCCATTGCACTTTTTTTTAGTATATTATTGTTACTGTAGTGCTATTGAAAAGTTAAAAATTTAAGATTGTATGTTTATGAATAAAAACATGGTACGACTGTCAGTATTTGTAAAAGTAATGGTTTTTTAATTTAAGTTTAAACTTTATTAATTTAATTAGGTGGTCTGAGTGATAATAAATTCTAGTAAAATGCAGTTTTTTTTTCTCTACAAGCATATGACAAATTTTATTTTATAATTTTATATAAAGGTAATTTTTTGGTGAAAAAACAATATTTCTTATAATAGTACTATATTTTTGGCGTATGTGAATTTAATAATAGTCTAAATAATAAAATAGAATGTTACCTATTTATTTACTAATGTCTTAAATAATATATATATTTCAGTATTTATCTCTCAATGAATCAACCTACAATCACAGTGGATTCAAAATAAAACATACTTTCGTCAAACATCTTTATACAGCAGAAAAATTGTTTGACTAAAAATAAATTTTAGCTATCAAATAATATTAATAATTAGTTGTCTTGTCTAAATATTTGTATTGTAGTTAGTCAAATTGAATGGTTTTGAATATGTTATGTAAATACATGTTGAGTATGTTATATTAAGTATAGAAAAGAATAAAAAAGATTAACTTTTAATTATTTAGAATTGTTCATTTTATTTTTCTATTAAGTTTATCTGCAAGAAGTTGCTCACTGTTAATGTATTTAACTAAGAACCAATGAAGTTAAATTCTTGCATTTTATCTGTATGATTAACTGTTATTTTTTCTTAATATACTATAAGCGTAGAGCAGTGGTTTTCAACCTTTTTAACAATGTAGCACACTTCTTCTTCTACAAAATTTTTGTGGCACACCAATTCATATAATACGTGAAGCATATATTTTTATATATAATACATACATATATATACATATATATATAATTATATATACACACAAAATTAACTCCATCAATAGATTTATCACGGCACACTTCAAAGGCGCTCGCGGCATACTGGTGTGCCGCGACACACCGGTTGAAAACCACTGGCGTAAAGGATTAAAAAGTTGTGTATTACATTTTTTTATTATTTTCAGTATTATATAGGTAATTACATGTAGGCAATTATACAAATAATATAATGTATTATTAGGTAATGTAATGTATTTAATACATTTTTAAACTAGGATTTAAAACAAAATGATTAACGCTGTAAAATTTAACAATATGTCCTAATAAAATTGAATAACACACCTTATACCCCTTATAACTTATAAACTAAAATTTAGTGGAAATAGATTACATAAATTCTAATTACTTTTATCTTCTTTAAATACTACAATGCATATTACTTAAATATATGGCATTTATTTTGGATAGGTAAATAGTATGTAGGTACTTTTTTTATTTTATTAAATAAGTAATTAATAAAATATATTACCTCTTCAAAGTGCAAACTAGAATCAATTTTCTATCCAAAACAACCTCTAAAGTTGAAAATCGAAGCTTTTTCAATTACTTATCTTGTACACAAACACACACACATACACAAAGAACAACTTTGTAAATTAATACATTTATTACTCATAATCTAAAACTTAAGATTCGATTTTTTCTTTTATCTGGTCAGATTAACCATTGAATGTTTATCACAAATAAGACTCATTTACCAGGTTTAGTGTAACTAATATATTTTAAACTAATATTATTGATAAATCATATAAACGTTTAAAAATTACCTTATTATATTTTAAGGGTTAGATGTGTAAGTGCATAAAATTATTCCACTGTGTTTGTATGCACAAAAAATAACCAAATATGCATGCATTTATGCACTAAAAATACCGAATTTGCATGTAGGTAAATAATTTAAAAATATACTTTATTTAGGTATTTATAATATTGTCAGTTTTTATAGGAATAAAAAATCGTATTTGAGATTTTAATGATACAAGTACTAGTGAAATTATCAAGTGGTATCTCTTGAAAATAGTAATTTGTTTTATCATTTATTATTTTATTAGTCTAATAAATGTTTATTTATCATAAAATATTATACAACTAATCCATTAACACGAGACTTCTATAGCGTTAAAGTTATTTATTTTTACCTAACCTGTTGTAAAGACTTAAATTTATTTCATAAAGTGTTTAAAATAATTTTAAAACTCAATTTCATAAATATATATGTAGTATATAATATATATAATATATATATATTATATTTTTGTGTTTATTTGAATTGTTAATTAACTATTATTACTTTATATGTGAATTTTATCTCGTATCAATGTTTCAATTTTCTTTTTATGGCCTGATAAATTGAATGATTTTTGCTTGCAGTTTCATCATTCACATGTCTATTGGTAATTATTTTTATTCAGATTGTTACTACTTGGTTGTTACATTCTAATGGATTCTATGCTATATAACTTAATAATTATACTTAATCTATTTTTTGTTCATTGCATAACTACCATATAGATGTGCTCAACTTTTGTAGACTTACTCCTAAAACAATTATGTTTCATCTATTATATCATCTGATTATGTTTTGGTTTTTTTTTTTTATTATATAGTTAAGTTATTATTATATATTACTTTTCTTATTATTTATTTGATAGGTTTATCATATATGTTATTATGAACAATACCAGAATCAAAAAACTTATTGATCAGTCATTTATATTATTTGAATGATTCTCCTTGCTCAATAATTGTATATTGTAATTCTGATTAATTAGTTAAAAAATACCATATTTTACGTTATTAGCAGTCTTGATGAGTATTCTAATAGGTAGGTACTTTAAAAATAATTTTTTTTTTGTATTTTTTATTCTAGAATGCTTACATTTTTTTTTTTGTTTTATTATTGTATTTCAACTTATGATTCTTATATTTTACTATTTCAAATTTTTTTTTCAAAATAATATTTTATAGTGATTTTAAAAATGTTTAATTAGAGCTTTAATCAAATCATTAGAATAGTTAAAAAATATACAAATAGCTGAAGTTTAACTTAATGTGATTGATCAATATTTATATTAAAATAATAAATATCTGAAATTCTTGAACCTATTAAAATATGTATCTATTAAATATTTAATTTGAATATTTATAAACAAGTTTTAAAATATCTATTTATTGAACGTAAAAATGTATTAAATTAAACAAAAAAGTATTTGTGGAGTATTTTGAAGACTATTAATTAGCGTTTTTTAGCGATTACAAATATTTATTCTTGGAGATTGTTTATAACCAAATTGGCACGGAATTTAATCGTTAAAATTGTATCAATTAAAATATTAAATGTTTTGAAAACCACAATGTTTTTAAGATGATGTTATACCCGCATCTATTGTTATCATCTTACTAATGTCTAACAAGGAACTTTCTTTTCTGTTTTACTACTTTTACTGTATAATTTTTAATACGTAGATAGGTAGGTACTTATTACAGTATTTCATATATATTGACTTTAAATAAGTTATAAACATTTTAAAATTTACAAAAATCCCGAATCTAATGTCAAAAATATTAAATTTTAACAGAGATCAACTTTACTTATAAAAATTGTATTAAAAATGTTAAATGCTGTGCATGTGTGTCATGTATTTTTTTCTCTCTGATATGGTGACCACTTGGGTTATTCTATATCAATATTGTGACTATAGTAATACATTTTTAAATAATATTTCATAGTTACGATTCTAATCAATATAAAATACACGTATTTAACACTACATTCGATTTGATTTTTAGACATTTGAATATTGTGCATACCTATAATAAATATTTGATTATTCAGTTTAGGTACGCCATAGCCCGTAGATACGATGGTTTTAATTCAATTCATATAATGTGTATTTTGTTTATGTCCAAAATTATGTAGATGCTTATTTTTTTAATAGCATGGCGTGACGTTTATATATGCAGGCATAACCTACCTAACTTATCCATATAAAAGTAGATTAATGAAGTATTACACACGCACACATTTTAGAATTTATTAGCTATGACGTATTTTAAAGAAATTTTATTTTCTATTTTATTCGTTAAAAATAACGAATGAGTTAAGCCAGGGCATAATATTATAATCTATTTATTGCACGAAAATGTTATATATTAAGGTACAATTTACTGAAATTACATACATTATTCTTCCTTCGAGTTAGTAGAGAATAGGACTCTAAATATTTTGTAGGTCTGAAAAACGACAATGCAAAAGAAAAAATAATGTCATTATTGAATACTTCACATAAAATAAATAGGTAAACCGCATATTTCATTTTTAAAGTGTCTATCAAAAGCTTTCTATACGCTCAATAGATAACTGGCCTATTTAATATATTATAATATTATTGTGTAATTGAAAATTACAGGTAAATATATCACGTGCTTGCAGTTTTAGTATTTAAAAAGTGTTAGTATAGCTGATTTTTTTTGTTAATTTGTCTTTATTATGGATTTGCTATATTATTTACATTAATTTTTCATTGGTATATATATATATATATATTATATTTATAACTTAAAATGAGTATGGATTGCACTAAAAACACGAAAGAAAGAAACTATATCTCTATAGACCCATTAGACCCGTGTGTCTTACGAATTTTGACTAGCACATTATTATTAGAATTCAATCTTAAAACGTAATGATGTTAATGTCAGCTGCATTCATATTTATCAATAGTGATTGAGAGTAGAGTTTGAATTTTCAAAAATAGATAAAGGTTTCAGATTTATCTCAGCTCAAAATCGTATTTGTATGCTATGATTTATCATCGAATTTAAAATTTACGCTTATCTCTTTCTGTACAGCACGGTAATTACCTAATTTCCCCTTTTTTAGTTATAAATTACTCTTATATTTGAGATATTGAAATGAAATAGTTAATTTTTAAATTTTTTTTCAATAAATTTAATATAATTATTTCAATTATATTTATCAATAAATAATGGTGTACCTATTGTAATTTCTATTTAAAAAACCATAGTACCTATTAACTTTTTAATATAACTACTCGTAAATGCTATTCAATTGTTTTTTGGAATTTCGATGTTTTTATTTTATTATACGAACAATAGTTTATTTTTATAAAAAATGTATGCATTATTATTAGACAGTTATATTTTTTATTATTATATTAGACTAGTTAAAATATCAGTATTTAAATAAACACAGAGAAAGTTTTCGATGACAATATTCCATAATAACGGGCTAGGAAATTGTAACATTTGTATTTTATTTAGTATAAACACATATCTAATACAAAAGTGTTTACATTAAATTTTATTTCACGTTTTTCTCGGGATCGCATTGAAATATGTTTTTTGATAACTATGATATAATTTTTGTATTTTATAAAGTTATATAACATAATATTATACTATTATTCTTGAAATATTATACAGTATTATTTTTGTTTTTTATTCATTCTATATGAAAAGTATGGAAATAAAAAAAAAGTAAAATTATCTTTCTATAACTTATAACTCCATTGATGAAGTTCTTAGAAAATAAAAAATAAAAAAATTTTAATTTTAATTATTTTTATTATCAGAGATGATGATTGTGTAAACACTATACAGGATA